CTGTTTAGAAATCTAAGGCCTTCCACTTGTGACAGTAGCTACCTGCAATAAGATGCTATGATCGCAATACTCAAAAGATTTTTGCGTGGTGTGCCATTTACTCTAATTCAAACTTTCAATGAAAAATAAATTTTGTTCAAGTTATTGTGGGCTGTTTTTGATTGGAATTGTTCAGAGTGGGAGTTTCATGCTTGCAGCAATAGATTTCCAATTACTTGAATGAAGTTTGGGTATCCAGAAATGTGATATAAAGGATTTGCATACCACAAATCCTCCCTAACTTAGCTTGTTTTGTTTCTTAAGTTTTTCAAATGTTTTTCTCTTATTTTTGTTTTAAATGGTAGGATCTCAACCGGGAGTTGTCAAATTATGCATAGGATGTTCTGTCAACCAAAGAGGGACTATGAGTTTAAATTGAGTCCCTTATCACCAACAGCTGTGAGGAGAAAACAAATAGACTTTTAAGTTTGTACCTTCATTATACTTTTGGATATAATGGGTTGGTAGAGTGGAAAACGTGTTCATTGCTGTATGGATGTTGCATTTTACGTAATATGCAAAAGCAAGTTTTGGAGGTTGAAAGCTGGCCATTTCCTGATTGTAGTTTTCTGACCTTTCCATTATCTGCTTCTCCAAAACAACTATAAAAAGTGGCTATCCATTTCCAGCACTAAAATTCATTTGGCCTTGTGCAGTCATTTCTCTTGATGGCATTATCAGGACAAATTAGGTTAGGCCAGGTTAGCACACAACCTCAAGATGATTAAGAATCACCAAAGAGCCCCTCTGCTGTCTCAAACTAATCCACCCTAACTCAGTACTCCCTTTTGTAGCATCTAGTGGTTCTGGGAAGGGGTAAGGCATGGCTTGTTTTAACTATATAATATCTGGATGTTACTTTGTATCTTTTTTGCTCTTTTTCAGAAAGATGTTGTTCCTGAACATTTTGTCTTCAAATGGGTTTTTTTAAAAAAACTAGTTTGAAATTTCACAGTTCAAATTAATCATAATGCGTGAAGCATTTCCATTCACTTTATCCAGAAAATAATTCTGACTTTATTCCTCAATTTCCAGCCTGAAAAGGCCAAATCAGGCACAGAACCTCTTGCTTCATCTCTCTGCACTGCTGTTAACTATTGAACCCCTTTTCTGTTTATTGCTAACCAGAACTGAGCAATGTTTTGGGCGTGAGATGGTTGGTCGGCAAAGTTTGATCGTTGCCTACTGTGACATATTTGACTATTTGCAAATATCCAGCAAAAAAAAACTGAGTTTGCCAACAGGGTGGTGTTAGCTGATGTCAATGCTTATGTTGAAATAAACTGGGTATTGTGTTATTGAAGAATCCAACAGGCACTTATTGCCACTATTAAGTATTAACATGACATTCCTCAGGAACATAAGTGTCTTGGCTAATGTTAAGGTATTGGTTTGCAAAAGAGTAGACTACTTTTGAGTAGAATGCCATGCTTCAAAATATCAGAAGTAAGATGAAGTACAAGATCTTTATCCTCATGCTGTGATATAATGGTGACTTCAAGAGGACATTTCTCTTTAAAGGCATACTGATGGCTAGACATAGCAAAGCAATGTAGCTATTGTGTTTAAAGAACTAACAAACAGCTTTGTGGAATTGAAAGTGTAACCTATCTTGACCAACATTTAAAATACATAGCTATGCAGTCCTGTGTTCTCATGTCAGTAGCAGCATGAGTTGTGAATACGCAGCATGAAAGAGAAAACCAGCTTCGTGTTCCCACTATTTTCACAAAATGTCACGAAATTCTATCCAGTTTAAATTGGATTGCATATATCTCACTGTTATACCTAACATTACTCTGATGTGGCAACTTGTTTAGTATGGTGTTTGTCTTTTGAAATTCAGTTCTTTGCAGTGAGTTGCAAGTAAAAATGCAAATCAAAATGAGCCAAATGTTAATCATTTGTAAGTATAAACACCAGTAACAAAGTAGTCATTGTTTAAATTTCACCATACAGTTTATGGTATGTCAATATTGTTGCGACTGTATACAGGATCCATAGCACAGCAAAGTCTTTTCTAGGAAGAGTACTAGTCAGCGTGGTCCTTATTTTAGAAATGAAAAAAGGTAGAGAGAGTTCTCTGAAATAAAAAAAAGCACATCTCATCTCATGGAACACACTTTAGGAGAAATGGGATTGTGGAGTTTGTGGTGATGGGGTTGTATAGTGAATTGCTACTTTCCTGTCTTACTATTTAACTTATCAAAATTTGCACTTCCATAACTTTTCGTGTGCTATTCCAGCTTGTCCTGCTCTATCTGAGGTCACCACATGCTTGCTAATTACTTCTCCATCTTTACTTACCAGTCACCCATTCCTCTTTATATGCACTGTGCTTAGATCTCTCGCCATTGCATCCTTCCAGGGTCTTGGGACTTTTTGAAAGTCTCCACTCCATCATTCACCCTGCCTCAGTTCTTTTGTCTCTGTCTTTGCAACAGATGACCATATCATTTCAGCCTTTGTGGCTACTTTCGTCAATATTTCTACAAGCTTTGCTGATCTTCACTGCTAGCTACTGATTTTTTTTTCAGTTCTCCACACATCAATCTCATGAGTATTTAGTCGTTACTCCCCAAGTCTTGATGGTTTGACAGTGCAGAAAATTTCAGTGACACTTTTTCATAACACTCCACTGGAATTCTCCCAATTTTTCCTAACAGAACCAACCCATTGCACAATTTCCATATTTGCATCTTCTAACACTACTGACACCAAGTAGGTCGTTATCCAAGTCTCCACCCACATTCTTTTCTGCTGTTGCTCTCTCCTGATGCTTCGGAAAACTGAGTTTGTCTCACTGCAGCATTTAGGTAAACAACCACGTTGCGCTTTATTAGTTGACTGGCTCAATTTTAGCAAAACTGCATTCACCTGGTTATGTATCTCATGCTTTTCTAAAGACGTTACTGCAAGCAGATTGGCTACTACATTTTACTTATTAAGCAATAATTTTTTGTGTCCCCGTTGGCAATCACTGGCTAATGAGTATGCTTATCCACCGAGGAAACTGTGTCAGTGCTGATGGGTTCCATGGGTACCCACACCAACCACTTCCTCAGGAAGTTTATTCCATACGTGAACCACCCTCAGTGTAAAAGATTTGCCTCTTTAGTCTTTTTTTTCATAAATCTCTCTCCGTCACCTTAAAAATGTACCTCCCTAACCTTAATCCCCAGTGTAGGGAAAAGACAACTACCATTAACTCAATCGGTACTCTTCATTATTTTATAAACTTCTATCAGGTTGCCTTTCAACCACCTAAACTGATCTAGTCCCACTTGTCAGCATTTGATCCAAATCCTCAAAACCCTCCTTATTCATGTACCTATCAGATGCCTTTTAAATGTTACAATTGTACCAGCCTCTTCCACTTCCACTGGAAGCTCATTCCATACATGCACTACCCTCGGTATGAAAAAGTTGCCCCTTAGGTCACTTTTTAAATCTTGCCCCCCTCTCACTTAAATCTGTGCTGCCTAGTTTTGGACTTCCTTATCCTGGGAAAAAGACCTTGGCTATTCACCCTATCCATGCCCTTCATGATTTTTGTAAACCTCTATCAGGTCAACCCTCAGTTTCTGATGCTCCAGAAGCAAAAAAAGCCCCGACTTATTCACATCTCCCTATAGCTCAACCCCTCCATTCCCACAACATCCTTAAATCATTCAAGTTTCACAACATCTTTCCTATAGCGGAGAGACCAGAATTGAATGCAGTATTCCAAAAGTGGCCTAACCAATTTCCTAAACAGCTGCAACATAACATCACACTCCAATACTCAATGCACTGACCAATAAAGGCAAGTGTGCCAAATGCCTCCACCGCCCTGTTTGGCTGTAATTCGATTATGCGCTTACACCCCTAGGTCTGTTTGTTTGGCAACACTCTCCAGGGCCCTACTGTATAGATACTGGCCAGATTTGATGTATCAAAATGCAACACTTCACATTTATCTAAATTAAACTCTATCTGCCCCTCCTCAGCCCATTGTGGTGCTGTAGAGCATTTCATGGTGCTGTATAAATGAGCAGACTGAGGCACTGACCTGCCTATTCCTGCTAAATTAATGTTCATAAACATGCATTGGCATTGCTGTTTGTTATTCTTGGCTCTGTTTAAGTCTCCAGTGTGTCAGTAGTGGTTCAGTAAGGAGTGCCTCTGGATCACCAAGGTTCAAACCCCAATCCAAAGAACACCAGTACTCAAAGCGGTCACTCCAGTGTAGCACTGAGGGTGCTCTATAACTATTGGAGTTACTGATTCTGGATGAGACATTTAACCCAAGTCCCATCTGCCTTATTTTATGGATGCAAGAATCCCTATTTCACTGAAGAGGAGGTGAGTTATTCCTGACTTCTGACCAGTATTTAAAGGTGAAGTCACCAATGTCCTGCCAGACCACAGGGCTGCTCTCTCTCATAGAGAGAGAGAGATGGGTTTAACCTGAGGGTCACCTCCCCTTTGGTGAGGGGAGAAGTTGAGAAGGAGAATTCTTCATGGTAAGCTCAGCCAGTGTGGGAATTGAACCCATGCCATCGATATAACTCAGCTTCACAAACCAGCTGTCCAGCCAACTGAGCTAATGAAACCCCTCTTGTATTTCACTCAATTGACGTCACAAAATTGAAATCAAAAATTGAAATATTATTGTATTGCTATCTGTGAAAACTTGAGTTCATATTGACTGTTTTAATGTCAACGATGCAACAGTGCTACATTTTTTTTTTTTAAAAGCACCTGTAATGGCACCTTTTTTTAATATAGTTGTGGGATTTTCAACCCAGGTCTCCTGGCTCAGAGGTACGGATGCTACCAACGTGCCACAAGATCAACAGCAATGGCTACACTTGGTGTTTAATTACCTGTGAACATCCCATGAGGAAAAGTGTTCTGTAAGTTCAAGTCTTCCTAAAGATAGCCCCTAACACACTCTTCCTGCTCCACTTCATCCACAGGTATAGCTTACTGATAAACATGGCCAACCAGGGACCTACTTATGGATTTAGTAGGGACATTCGGAACAAGATTGAGAAGAAGTATGAACCTGAACTGGAGGAGCGGCTAGTAGAGTGGATTATCGCTCAGTGTGGAGCGAGTGTGGGGCGACCTGAGCCAGGGAGAATGGGGTTCCAAGCCTGGCTTAAGGATGGTACAGTGAGTATCCCATTAAAGGAATGGCTTTACAGACTGGTTCAAGGTTTTGTGCTAATTTGAAGCTAATCAAAGTCTTTGCTTGATTACATTTTCAATTAAAAATCTATTCGGTGATTTTTTTTTTTTCCTGTTTTAAATAATCCTTCTGGTAAAGCTGTAATGAAAAGTGAATAAACCATTTGGTTAAGGCCCTCGTACATTAGAACATAGAACATAGAACATTACAGTGCAGTACAGGCCCTTCGGCCCTCGATGTTGCGCCGACCTGTGAAACCAATCTGAAGCCCATCTAACCTAAACTATTCCATTATCATCCATATGTTTATCCAATGACCATTTAAATGCCCTTAAAGTGGGCGAGTCTACTATTTTTGCAGGCAGGGCATTCCACGCCCTTACTACTCTCTGAGTAAAGAACCTACCTCTGACATCTGTCCTATATCTATCACCCCTCAATTTAAAGCTATGTCCCCTCGTGCTAGCCATCACCATCCGAGGAAAAAGGCTCCCACTGTCCACCCTATCTAATCCTCTGATCATCTTGTATGTCTCTATCAAGTCACCTCTTAACCTTCTTCTCTCTAACGAAAACAGCCTCAAAACCCTCAGCCTTTCCTCATAAGACCTTCCCTCCATACCAGGCAACATCCTGGTAAATCTCCTCTGCACCCTTTCCAATGCTTCCACATCCTTCCTATAATGCGGTGACCAGAACTGTACGCAATACTCCAAGTGCGGCCGCACCAGAGTTTTGTACAGCTGCAACATGACCTCATGGCTCCGAAACTCAATCCCTCTACCAATAAAACCTAACATACTGTACGCCTTCTTAACAACGCTATCAACCTGGGTGGCAACTTTCAGTGATCTATGCACATGGACACCGAGATCTTTCTGCTCATCCACACTACCAAGAATCTTACCATTAGCCCAGTACTCTGTATTCCTGTTACTCCTTCCAAAGTGAATCACCTCACACTTTTCCGCATTAAACTCCATTTGCCACCTCTCAGCCCAGCTCTGCAGCTTATCTATGTCCCTCTGTAACCTGCAACATCCTTCCGCACTATCCACAACTCCACCGACTTTGGTGTCATCCGCAAATTTACTAACCCATCCTTCTACGCCCTCATCCAGGTCATTTATAAAAATGACAAACAGCAGTGGCCCCAAAACAGATCCTTGAGGTACACCACTAGTAACTGAACTCCAGGATGAACATTTCCCATCAACCACCACCCTCTGTCTTCTTACAGCTAGCCAATTTCTGATCCAAACCGCTAAATCACCCTCAATCCCATGCCTCCGTATTTTCTGCAATAGCCTACCATGGGGAACCTTATCAAACGCTTTACTGAAATCCAAATACACCACATCAACCGCTTTACCCTCATCCACCTGTTTGGTCACCTTCTCGAAGAACTCTAAGGTTTGTGAGGCACGACCTACCCTTCACAAAACCGTGTTGACTATCCCTAATCAAATTATTCCTTTCTAGATGATTATAAATCCTATCTCTTATAATCCTTTCCAACACTTTACCCACAACCGAAGTAAGGCTCACTGGTCTATAATTACCAGGGTTGTCTCTACTCCCCTTCTTGAACAAGGGGACAACATTTGCTAGTCTCCAGTCTTCTGGCACTTGAGCGCATCCACTTGAGTGATATGATTATTCGCTTTCAAGTTAACTTTGTGTGTAAATCCACATGTCAGTGTTTAAGGTAGTTACACTTCTAAATATCCTTTTTAACACCATTGATCACATGGTGAACTTACTACATGTAGACAAAAGCTAATCAACCTGTCCAGTGTTTCCCAACAAGCAGATATTAGATCTTTTAAAGAGGTAAAACTGATGAGGAACAGAAAGCAGCCATTTAAAAATGTATCCCACCTCAGCTGTAGTTCCTGTTTTGGCCCATTTGAAAGACTCAACGCTGATAAATCTAAATTGAAACATATTGAATTATCATCCAGTACAAATAATCTCCCAAAAGGTGAGGGAAGTGTACAGTTGGCAAATTACTGCCTGTATGTGCAGATCAAATCAGGCAAGTGATAGAATGTATAATGAAAATGTGCCTATAAGATTTTTTTGTATATGCTGCAATATTTGATCTTGGTGGAGTTTCCACAGACAAACTCATTGGCCGTTCTCCAGACGGCTCAGAATGCTGAATCATTCCTATGTTCAAGATCTTGATTCAGTAGGTTTACTTTGGACATCAAGGGAGTTGTGAGAGGGAGTGGAGTTGAGGTAGAAGATTTTGGCCATGGCTTTATTAAGAGGCACCTTGCTCACGTGAAATGATATGGTTTTCTCCTGGTTCTTTAAAGTGCTTCCCAAACTTTTTCTCCAGTCTAACATTGTTTTAATGCCTCCAACTTTGTGACACTAGAGTGAACATTCGGGGGAGGAGGGTAGAGAGGAGAGAGAGAAAGAATGAGAGAATTTCTGGGGTGGGTCGATGGACAGAATGGCATTTTGTGAAGTCATTCACGTAACCTTGCAGCACTGAAGGCCATTCATCCCACTGTGTCTGTGTTATCACTCTGCAAGGACTACCCAGTTTGTTCTCCCACTCCTGCCTGTGAGCTTTTTGCTTTTTCAAGTATTTATACTATTCCTTACTGAAAACTTGTTCGGAATTCATATCGGGCTGAGTTCAAGATCTTTGGTATTCGTTACATCAAACTTGTTTCGTCTTTTTTTCTGGTTCTCTTATCAATTGTCTCTAAATTTAAGAGATGTAAATAGATTACAATTAGTTAGCAGTAAAGGTCCTCCTTTCTCATCCACAAAAAAAACCTAAACACCTACAGTTTATTCACTTTTATTTTGAAGTAATATAGCCTCTGGGCCAGGTCTATCAATAGACCAAACTATGGAGATTGAAAGGGGCTTTACATCTATTGTATTTGGTCTGAGCACCAAAGTAGCATTGATGCCTTGGTTCTCTGTCCTGCTGGGGTCTGTGCCCCACCCTGTCTTCAGATTACTGTTTTTAATCTTGATCCCTGTGTGAGTAACAAACAGTTTCACACTGTTAACATGAATACATGAGTGAAAGTCCTCTGTGGCTGGCATTGGAATTTTGGTTCGGTGTCC